TTTTATTTTGATTATTTATTACTATTTCTATAATTTGAGTAATAAAGTAATAAATTATTTTGAGTATTTTTGTAATATATATCAATTTTAAGTCTTTGACTCTATCATCTTCCTCGCTGAATCATGATGTTCGCTCCCTGCGGCTTTTCTTTCTTCTTCGGTGCTCGCTGTTGCTTTTCTTTCTTCCTCCGCTCCCTGTTTCTTTTCTTCTTCCGCCGCCATTAGATTCACATGTGCGGCGCTAGATAACTGTTTTTTTTGTTCTAGACTTATTGTTTCCTATTATATTGATACGCTACAAATATTGGGGAGTTCTGCACGAGAGAGTGATTTTATTTTACCTTTTTTGTTTTGTGTTTTTGATTTTATTTTTTTCGTTACTTTTAGCGCTAGTTGTTTTTACTTTCTTTTCCTTTGTCTTTTTTCTTTATGTCTTTTCTTTTCTGTTTTTTGTTGTTGTTTCCTTCTTTCTTTTTTCTTTATATATTAAATATTGAGCACATTAAAAATGAGTTTTATTTTAAACTCAAATGAGTAAAACGCCTAAATAGAATGAACATACACAAATGAGTTTTTGAATTTTTGAAAACTCATTTTTTAAGTTATGTATGTCCATTTAGTACCTCTGTTATACAAATTTTAAAATGTTATATCAATACGGTTTGATATAAATGTTTTGATGCCCACTGAAAATGTTTTTATGTTCAACGAACAAAATTTACAATTTTTATATCAATGCTCATCTTGTAAGTTATATATGCTCATTTGTATCTGATGCTCATTAAAAATTCATTAATGCTCATTTAACAGAAATCGTGAATTCCAACAATGCACATTTTGTAAGTTATGTATGCTCATTTGGTACTCATCCTATGCTCATTTAATAAGTTTTTATAAAAGAAAAAATAACAAAAAGAAAGTGAATCATTAGAGGTTATGAAGCAGAGATCACGATTCTGAATATTAGACTTCTAATACTCAACATAATAAGTTTGATGCTCATTAAAAGTTCATTAGTGCTCATTCAACTGAAACCGTGATTTTCATCTCAATAGCAGAAGTTTGATGCTCAATTAAAATGTCGTGATATTCATATCAATGTGCACTTTGTAAGTTATGTATGCTCATGTTGTATTGATGTTGTGCTCATTTTTTAATTGTTATATCAATGCATATTTCAAAAGTATCAAATTACATTAGACTCACATATTGAAATTAATAGGTATATTATAGATATAATTTAATAAGTTTTTATAAAAGAAGAAATAGGAAAAAGAAAAAAGAATTAGAAGATATGAAGCAGGGATCGTGATACTCATTGTTAGTCTATTAAATACTCAATAAAATGGGTCTGATGCTCATTAAAAGTACAATATTGCTCATTTAGCGGAAGTCATGAATTTTCGCTTAAATTACAAAAATGCCACCAATTTTTTTAACATGTATTAGTGATTGGACTGCCTTTCTTACTTGGGCCGGGTGTACGTACATCCGGATGCACTATATACGCACCGATCTTCCATAGAATTAGTAATGAATAATATAAGGGAAAAGTACCGAAAAGGTACTTGTGGTTGAGTCCGTTTTCAGATAGGCTCATGTGTTTCATTCTTTATCAAAATGGTTAATGTGTTTGAATTCCGTTATCACAAGAGGGTCACGCCGTTAAAAACGTCTGAAAAAGACCGTTAAAAGTAACTCTGATTTTCAAAAGTGTCCGAAAAATTAAAAGAAAAATACCGGAACGTGCGCCGTAATAAGACGACCGCTAGGTCATCTTTCTTTTTTGTTTTCAGCCACCCTTGTCACCGGAAAGTCCATCAAAAAAGTGATATTAACGAAATCATTTTAAAAAAATAATTCGAACAGATCTGAAAAATCCAAAGGCGAAGGTGGTTTGGAGGTCATCGTGACGAAGCGCACCTTTAAGTGTTTGTTTTATTTTTCGGGCACTTTTGAAAATCGGAGTTACTTTTAACGGTATTTTTCAGACGTTTTTAACGGCGTGACCCTCTAGTGATAACGGAATTCAAACACATGAACTACTTTGATAAAGAATGAAACACATGATCATATCTCAAAACGAGCTCAACCACAAGTACCTTTTTCATACTTTTCCCATAATATAATGATTATTATCACTTTTATATGACACTAGGGGTGGACTCGGGCCGGGCCAACCGGCCCGGAACCGGACCGGCCCGCCACTGTGCGGGCCCGGACCAGCCCGGTGAACCGGTTGGTTGGCCGGTTCGGGCCACCCGGCCCGGTGGATTATCGGTTCGGGCTCGGACCCTTCAAAAGGTGAACCGGCCCGGCCGGTTCGAGCCCGGGCCGGGCCAATTTTTTTTTGATTTTTTTAAGTTTTTGGGTTGGGCTGGGTATTTTGGGCCATTTGAGGTGGTTAGGGTTGGTTTGGGGGTGAGGGGGAGGGTTGTGGGTTAAATAGGAAAAGCCCAAAAAAAAATACCCGAGGCCCAGGGGTTACCTGGGCCGGTTCCGGGCCTCCCATACCTTGAACCGAGGCCCGGCTAGTTCAAGGCCCGAACCAAGTACATCCCTATATGACACCAATGTGTCGTATTATGTATGATACCAACGTGTCACAAATTTTTATGATACCAATGTGTCATAATCTTATATCACATTAATGTGTCACAATATACTGACACTATTATGTTTTACGATCAGTGACACTATATTTAGTGTCACTAGCCGCTACTTTTCCCGACACTTTTTTAGTGTCACGGAAACATTCAGTGACACTAGATTAATGTCACTATAAGCCCTTTTTCTACTAGTGAACTATACTTTTAATTCAAAAGCTATTCATGATTGCTTCTAAAAAATAAGAGAAAAACTTTCAGATTAGCCCTTCTACTATGTACGAAAAGTCAATTAAGTCCACGTACTTTACAAACACCCAGTTTACCCTTGAACTCTAAAAAAATGCTCAATTACGCCCTTTTACTCGGTAACCATCCTGTTTCCGGCAAATTATAACGTGGGATCGGTGCACCATCCCCATGGTGTACCGATCCCAAAACGACATGGTTTTAATTGGTATTAATTAAAAAAAACAAGTATGCCGCAGTTGTTATTACGCCAAATTAAAGAGCCTACCTGAGTTCCATCTTGAGAGACAGCATGAGATGACACTCGAGGCGGCGGTGCAACTGCTCATCCTCCTGGCAGCGGCGGCGCTGAGCCTTGATGGCTAAATTGAAGTGTCAATCTTGTCCAGGCAGTGCATCGAAGCCATGCTATGTTCCGAGGAACTTTTGAGTTTATTCCCATTGATGTTGTGCGCAATTCGAATTTATTATTCAGCCTCGATTGTGTGTTGCGAGATAACATCAAAACAGAGACATTTCTTCCTGATACTCAAAAAGAAAGCAGATGAGAACTCAATGGAATTTTGGGGTGATTAACTTTTAAGAACTCAACTAGAATTTTTCTTACATAATTTACGTGTTGAAGATGATTGCTATAAATTATTTAAGATCTTTATCAATTTACATATTGCGCACGTTCAAGTTACATCATAATTTGCAAGAAGTTACATTTTGCATACATGTGAGTTACATATTCAATTAACGTGAGTTACATTTGCCATAACGTGATTTACATATGAAAATAAACTCCTGCTAATGAAGAAAAAAGAGATTTTTTAAAATCATTTTCAATGGCCTTGACATTAAAAAATAAAACATAAACACTATCTATGTAAAATAATTGTGCAGTTAGACTATCTCTTTTTATTGTTTACATTGAAATCAATGTTTTATTTCTTATTCTATGTATTTGACAAGTTACATTTCGACTGAACTTGAGTTACACCGATCAATAACGTGAGTTGCATTATTTTACACGCGAGTTACATCATTCATGCTACTGGGACAAAAAACAGTATTGTTCACGCGTTACTGTTCACGCGATTTTTTTTTTTTTAAATTGTGCAAAAACTACGTCGTTTTGTGTGTGGAGCAATGTGCTCGCCGTGGGATGATCCCACGATATACCAACTGCCCGTTTCCCGATTAACATCTCACATGGCGCACCACGTGGCGGCACACGTGACATTTCCTTTTTCTTTTTCCCTTTTCTTTTCTCTTTTCTTTTTCTTTTCCTTTTTCTTTTCTTTTCTTTTCTTTTCTTTTCCTTCTTCCTCAACAATTGTACGCCTCACCCTTCGTTTCTTCATTCTTGTACGCTAACTGCTCCCATTCTTCAGAGCAACTTCACCTCGGTCAGGCAACAAACAAGGAGCAACTTCGCCAGGAATTGAGCAGAGACAAAGGAGATGATGGCCGCCGTCTCCACTGTTGGAGCCTACTGCCCATCGGACTCGTCCTCAATGTCGCCGGAAATCTCATCGCAGCCGGAATCCACCCGTAAAAAGAAGAAACGAACAGAGGAAAAGAGGGACCCCGTTCAAGCAGTGCAGGTACCGTTCTCCATTGTTGTCCTTCTCAAAGTCTCTATCTGAACAGAGAAGAAGAGGCGCCAAAATCCGTCGGAGTGTAACCATCAATGTCATCGTCCTCCATTTACCTTCATCTTCCACCAGTTAATTTCATACAAATTCTGAGAGAGGAGATCACTAAGAGAAAGAAAAGGGGCGGCAGGCGGCTGGAGCCCTAAAGAGAAAAGAGGGGAAATAAAGTTGCAGGCTTGAGGCGTAAAACCAGGGAGAAAGAGAAGAGGAAGACAGAGAGAAAGGAAAGAGGAAAGATGTTAACCGAGAAACCGGATGGTTACGGGGTAAAAGGGCATAATTGAGGGTTTTTTAGAGTTCAAAGGTTAAAATGAGTATTTTTAAAGTACAGTGGATTTAATTAACTCTCCGTACATAGTAAGAGGACTTATCTGACAATTTTCTCAAAAAAAAAAAAAAATTATTTACTCCGTATTTTTAGTATCCCCTAAAATGTTGTATCAAACATACAACACAGATTTTTAAGTCGTAGAAAAGCTAAAAGTTAGCAACAAATGCCTACCAAACATGCACGTAATAGCCTGGTCGGAGTATCACACACCTATACTGGTTAAGAACCCGAAAGCAAGTCCATCCCTAATTTACAAGGACCAAAAACACATTATTCAAACCGAACAAGTGCCATGATATTACCATTAGGTGATACATATTTCTGGTTATTAATGTATTGGCAAAACCTAACAAGCACATCAAGCATTGCCACGCTTTTATACTAATTAACAAACAAGTTATGTTGTCGGAACTTATCGCTGAGATCTCACGACATGGCCTCTCTATATGCCCACCTAGAGTCAAATCTCCCCAAGGAGTAGGCAGTAGCAGGCATCTCATTCAAATGCAATGGGTCTGGTTCAATCCCGTAATCTGTCAATGGCCTGTGCTCCAGAACATCATCGTGGTTTTGCACAAAATCAGGAATTTCAATCTCTCCTCTCTTTATGTCTTCCCAAAGATACTGAAGCCGGTTAACATACTTAATTTTCCAATATAGGCTACACATAAACAAGCACAATGACAACAATAAGAACATCAAGCATGTAAAATGTAGAGACAGACAAGCATGATAGGGAACTATAGTTTCTATCAAACCATAACCGCTTCTAATCTTCTATGACAAGCCAATTAGTTCACTATTTAAATTAAGGGCTTGTTTGATTGAGGGGATGATTGGTTTTTGTTTTCCACTCTTCTCTATTCTGTCAGACTAGAAAATAATTACTCAAATAGCTTCTCATTTGCTTTTGAAATTTATTAAAAAGGAAACCCCGGTGCACGTTGGTGTCCCTGCAAGGCGAGGGGTTGGACCCACCACAAGGGTGTATAGGGAGGAAATTTAAAAAGAAATAAAATATGAAGATAATTATATGCCAGGCAATTGTGAAGCTATTTTAGGGACATAGTCTATGTGTTTCTAAGATCATGAACTTTTATATAATTTGTTTTTCCAAAATAAATATTGCTCCTCCCTTCCTGGCCCTCCCAAATCCCAACAAATAACATAGTCCGTTTACACAACAAATAGTACACACATACAAACCTTGCCTGGATTGGCTTCCACGTCTTGGGATCAGATCCCCAAAATGGGGGTACATTTGGATTTGAAATACCAGGCATCAAGGAAGGGAGAACGTACAAATATACCATTGAACTATATGTTAGAGAACAAATATACCCCCTCAAATTTCATGTGGAACAGTTAAACACAAAACGTGTAATGTTGGAACAAATATACCCTTATGTCCAAATGGTTAAGGGGCATATATGTTCTGTTATATGTAGTTAAGGGGTGTATAGTTCTTTAAGGGAACAAAGATACCCTTATATTTGTTCCAAATTAAAAAAAAAATGCATTTAGGTATTCCAAATGAAGTTGAAGGGTATATTTGTTCTCACACATAAAGTTCAAGCGTATATTTGTCCCTTCTCCCAATCAAGGAATATTTGAATTTGTGGATTCATGAAATGGGAGGCATCATTAGCATCCAATGCATGAGGTTTGAGTGAGTCATCCCAAACATGTTACTCCATATTATTTTATTTTATTTTATTTTATTTTTTAGGAAAGGAAAGTTCATTAAAATAAGCAAAAGAAAGTACAAACAGGAGGAAGGGAGAAAATTGAAATAAAAGCAGGCAAAAACAGAAATAAAAAAGAAGAAGAAAAGGCTCAACCCACATCAACACAAGTAAAACCGCTCTAGAGATCTCTAAGCCCTCGGTCCAATCTTCAAATCTTCGCTCGTGGTTACTCTGTATTATTTAAATCAATGCAATTGAAGATATTTTTAATTGGATTGAAAATTTCTGTTCTGGACTTATCTGGTCTCGTCTGTTTTGTTTAAGTCTAGTCTGGTCTGTTCTGAGACCGGTCCAAGTTAAAACATCTTATATTTTGACCACAAATTAATCCAAACAAAGAAGACTTGCATGTACTTGGAGGCGGAAAATTATACCGTAGGACGGTTATACCATGAGCATGATATACCGGTTCTAATACGGTGTCGTACCATTAATTAAAACAATCCAAATCATCTTTTCTTCTCCACCAAGCTGTTCTCGTGGGATCGTCGTCCTCCTATTTCTCTTAGCATATACCCTTCTTCTCCTTTATCCCCTCCACCTCTACTGCAGGGATTGAAATGATGAAAGTTCGGACTTAAGGGGGGTGAGCAGGACACTCTCCAGCGTAGATCCCTCAGTGAGTCATGCGGTTCCGACTTCCGAAGATGGAGATGAATATGATTCGAGTGAATCGAAATATATGTCGGTTAATTAACTTTGCTTCCACCGACTAACAAAAGTTATGTGCTTCTATGTTTTTAATTTTTAGAAAGATCATGCTTTTGAATTTTTGAAGCTTCTTTGACCATTGAAATCCATGATGTACACGGCGTAGCTATGCCTTAAAATGATCATTTATGTGTATTAATGATGTTATTATTATTTCTTTAAATTTAATACTGGAGTTACATTTGATTATATATGAAGTTACATCTTATTATTCATGAGTTACATCTTATTTTTCGCGAGTTACATCTTTTTATTCCTCCATAAGTTACATCTTGCTTACACATGATTTACATTTGTCATAATGCAACTTACACCACAAAAAATGCAAGTTACACAACAAAATAAACCCTTGTTATTCAAACAGAAATGATATTTTATTAAAAATCATTTTTAGTGGCCCTGATATTAAACACAAATCATATGCACTATTTACGTAAAATAATTGGTCAATTAGACTTTTTTCATTATTTACATTGAAATCAATGTTTACTCATATAATCAGTTTTTTAGAAGCCGGGGGAGACCAGTTTCTGAAAATTGATTCTGATTCTGCTTCTGTTTTAAAAAAGAAGTAGAAGCAGAATCAGTTCCAAACATCCCCTTATTTTCTGTTTTAGATAACTTACATTTCAACCTAACTCAAGTTACATTTCTTATCAATGTGAGTTACATTGCTTTAAACACGAGTTACACCAAGCCTATTGCTGAAATAAAAAACAAAGCCATGGGAGCAGGATGCTCAAGGTGAACCGCTCCCACGGTATACGAATTGCTTGGAGCCATTAAAGTTTAACTTGCAAGCCGGTATTTGTGTATAGGTCAGTCAATCAGAAAGGATGACGTATAATGTGTAAATTTAGTTTAGTATAAGTAGAGAGACTCATGTTTCACAGATGTCCAACAAAAGCAAGCCTAGCTACGAATAAAGTTCTAGAATTGCAAACACAATTTAGACAAGAATCTCACCCTCCACTTAGGAAGAACCTGCCAAGCGTAGCAATAACTAGCCGTGATCGGATCCCAGGATGAATAAAGTAAAGAACCTGAAGCCGACTCTTATGCTCAGAAGGGAGATCTTCATAAATCCACCTCAATATGGTCATGCCGGGATTGTTGTCTTCCTTTTTTACAGCACTATGCATGTACACGATACAGAAAGGCCCTTCTGGCACCTCTGTGAGAATTTTCTGGAGAACATACTTTCTCAGCCGCTCTGCACTAATTACAAGAGCTGCACACATTCTGTCTCATTAGAGGGCAGCACTAGAATTAAGAGACGCTTATAGATATAAATGCTAGCAGGTAGCAATTTGCAACCAGGCATCGATTATGCCATCTACTCATGGGATGGAACAAGCCATCAGAGCTGCAAGCTCTTAGATTTTCACTAGTTGTCATCCAAGAGATGGAAGTTATCAGATTTTCTAGAGGAGTTGAAAAGAAGAGTATGATAGAAGTGTTAATTTAATTGGGATAAATAATGGCTTAGAATATCCCATTTATTGAGTTGAAGAATCTCAACACACAATCGGTATCCAGGTCATACAATAGATTCAATTGTTCAAAGATAATTATGTGATTCCAAAATTGTTATTTGTGAACCAGTCAATAATATATTCTAATGAAGTCCAGAACCATACTACTGTAAGCAATCATGAATCAACCAGACTGCTTGATCTCGAAAGAACTCACTTCACGCAAATACCATCATTAATTATTTTTCAATAATCTAATCCAATATAGTTTACAAAACGACAAAAGGAAATTAAATGATTGGTGTGAAGGCTCGAGTGAGGTACCAGGAAAGTACTTGCCGACGATCCGGAAGATACGATTACCAGCAACATCCGATCCCCGCTCGAGGCGGAAGAATTGGAGAACATCGAGGTCGGAGAAGTCTTCCTGTACGTCGGATGGGCAGTCATGCCAGTTCTCTTCTCCGGCTTCTTGCTCCGATTGAGATAAAAATGGTCGGGCGTCTATACCCAAGTCTGATGCTAATACCAGCACTGAGAAATCCTCCGACCCACCCCCGCCGGAACTTGACATTTCAGATCAGTCAACTCCCTAACGACTGTGTATTGTCCCTCCGCCGGATAAGTAGGTTTTGAATGCTATAGATTACTCCGAAGTGTGTTGGAAACGCAGGTGCGTTTGGTTGGATTTTCAACATTAATTAATTAATTTTAAAAACATAATTAAGCGTTGCATTTTCACATGGGTCACGACCCACGAACTAATTGATTAACTATTTTAGGGGCTAATAGTCAAATACTCGTGACTCTCGTCGACCGGTTGGTATGCCGTGGGATCATGGTGAGCATCCTGTTCTACTCCAAAAATGACTTAGTTTGCACAATCATTTTTTAAAAAAATCGCGTGAACAGTAATTATTTTTTCTTTCTTTTTGTTCCAGTATCATGAATGATGTAACTCGCGTGTAAAGATATGTAATATACGTTATTGATTAATGTAACTCAAGTGAATTCGAAATGTAACTTGTCAAATACATAGTATTAGAAATACAATATTGATTTCAATGTAAATAGAGAGAATTCCCTAAATAGGGGTAAAAAAGTTTTGAAATTCCAAAATAGAAGTATCATGTTTTTTATTTCTTGAATAAGAGTAAATTTCTGCCAAGTTTGGCATTACTAGGCTTTAAAACATGAAATTTTTTCCCAAATTTGGCAGATTTCTCATATTCAGGAAAAAAACATGATACTCCTATTTTGGAATTTCAAAACGTTTTTGCTCCTATTTAGAGCAATTTCTAATGTAAATAATGAAAAAAGAAAGTCTAATTGCCTAGTTGCTTTAGGTAAACTGTGAATATGTTTTGTTTTTAATATATAATGACCATAAAAAATAATTTTTTTAAAAAGATCATTTTTTGTTTGAATAGAAGGGATTGATTTTTTAATGTAACTCATGTTACTACAAATGTAACTCGCGTTGATGACAAATATAACTTAGGTGTATACAGAATGTAACTTGTTGGAAAATTCAACAAATTTTGTGTGTGTTTGAGAATAATATAAATATCATAAACATTGATTTCAATGATCCTAATAGCTTAATTACTTTTTTTAAATAGAGAATATATTTTATTTTTGATATTAAGGCTATAAAAATGATATAGCAGGGGTTTATTCCGTTGTGTAATTCACATACATTAAGATGTAACTCGCGTATATTAAGATGTAACTCGCGTACATTAAGATATAACTCGCGCAGAAAAAGATGTAACTCATGTACATTAAGATGTAACTCGAGCATAAAAAGATGTAACTTCATGATATATTACCAAATGTAACTTCAAGAATCAAAATAAACAAACTCAATGTCTTAAAAACCTCTAAAAACATATAAAAGTGATAAAAAAATTATATTATAGAAAACGTGTGTCAATATAAAAAAAAATTACAAAAAAGTGTATGAATATAAAAAGTGTATTACAAAAAAAGTATTTGAATATAAAAAATATTACAGATATAAAAATAGTGTATGAATATGAAATGCAATATACTTATTTTATTTAGATTAATAAACTTTTTGTTATGTATTGATAAAGAATAAAAAAATAGATTCAATTGTAATTTAGGATGAAGATAAAAAAATGTAGGATTGGCATTATATATTTAGTATTTTAATTTGATGGAAAAAGAAAAGAATTGAACAAAAGAAAAAATAAAGAAAGAAAAGCAAAAGAAAAGGAGTGAACGTTGCTCCAAAGAAAATGGAAATTAAAGACACTAGCCTAAGGTGGGATCGGCACACCATGCGGAAGGTGGACCGACCCCATAGTATAATTTGCGATCATATACTATTTATATAAACTATTATGAATGGTGATAGATAGTGTACCCGGGGGGTAGCTTATCCGAGGGGTTATTGCGGAGAATAACTAGAGAGGAGTCAGAGCAAATAAGTAAGAGAGAGAGTGTATATTCGATATGTATTAAGCGTGGTTTACAATGGGGGAAAGGGGTGCTATTTATAGTAGTAATAAATGCCAGATAAGGACACGTGTCAATTTTCTGGTGGTCGAGGGGTCACCTCAACCGGGGTGGCACTCGCACTCGCATGTGGCCGCATTAAATGCGGTGGTTGGATGTGACGTTTGTACTTGGTACGGTGATCCAGGCGCATGTGAAGAGGATATTCTGTCGAGGTGGATGCCTTCGGTTGGAGGGTGCTGGGCCGAAGGCTCTTCTAATCGAGGGCTCCTACCTGCCGAGGGCTGTAGGTGCCGAAGGCTTGGTTTTCAAGCCTTGTTCTTCTGTGATGCCTCTTCTAACCGAGGGCTCCTACCTGCCGAGGGCTGCAGTTGCCGAAGGCTTGGTTTTCAAGCCTTGATCTCCTGTGATGTTTCTGAGCTCGATTCCGTCACCGGTAGCCTTCGGCCATGGGGCCGAAGGCACCCCTTTGCGTATTGTGGGCTGCTTACAGCTCCATTTCTCTGGGCTTGGCCCGTTTGGGGCTGTTGGGCCTGATTGTAGTAGAGGAAGTATGTGGGCCGGGGGTCCCTGGGCCATATACTCCATCAGGAGTCCCCCACTCCTTTTGCCGAAAGGTACTTGAGGGAAAAGGAGTAGCTGTGGTGATTTCCCCAAAGGCTTCCCTGTTCTGTTGGGTGCCTCATTTTCTCAATTCCCCCATATGTCGAGGGCTGAGAGCTTCCTGAAGGGAGAGTAAGTGTGTTGCTCGTATGTGTTTCTTTGTTGTAGTTTGTAAAGTAATGAGAGATCTGCATTTGTGTGCTTTGCCGAGGGCATTTGTTGACTGAAGGCTTTGTGTGGCCGAAGGCATCATGTGGCCGGAGGCATCATGTGGCGAAGGCATTGTGTGGTCGGAGGCATTCTGTAAGCCGAAAGCATCATGTCGAGGGGAGTAGATTGCCGTTGTGATCTTGCCTCAGCTTTCTGTAGCTGAGAAATATAAATTTTTTAACATTTGCGTGTTTTGCCGAGGGGAGTCCCCCACTCGTTTTGCCAAGAGTTTCTCGAGGGAAACAGGAGTAGAGTGATGCATGCCTTCAGCAGGAGCCGCCGAGGGGTGACGCCTTTTGTTCCACAATGGGGAGATGCCTCGTTAAAAACCTCATTAGGAAAAAACCCTGTGGGGGAAAAAATCCTAATGAGGGAAAAAGAGTACACCGGATGCCCCCAGAATGAAGCAAAAGGACTGCACCCTTCGGCCTAGATTTTTGAGCGGTGGTTGTGTCCGTCTGCTGAGGGGATATCGAAGACCAGCCTTAGATCCTGCATGAAAAAGCTGAGGAGCTTGTAAGGACCCCCCGTTATCAAATAAAGGTGGCGGAGGGATGCAAGGCCAGGTGGGTCTGTGTGAGAGCCCCTGGCATCAAATACAGATGCCGGAGGGATGGAGACCGAGGGGCCTGTGTGATTGCCCCCGACATCAAATAAATATGCCGGAGGGGTGAAGGCCGATGGCCTGTATGATAGCCCATGGCATCAAATAAAGATGTCGAAGGGATGAAAGCTAGGCTGAGGGGCCTGTATGACAGCCCCTGGCAAAAGATGCCATAGGAATGAAGGCCGAGGGGCCTGTGTGATTGCCCTCGACATCAAATAAAGATGTCGGAGGAATGAAGGCTGATGGGCCTGTATGATAGCCCCCGGCATCAAATAAAGATGTCGGAGGGATGAAGGCCGAGGGACCTGTGTGATTGCCCCCGACATCAAATAAAGATGCCGGAGGGATGGAGGACGATGGGCATGTATGATAGCCCCCGACATCAAATAAAGATGTCGGAGGGATGAAGGTCAAGGGCCGTTGTGATGTGGAATCATGCTGAGGCCGAGGGCCGTTGGTGATGTGAGATCACGCTAAGGCCAAAACCATTATGACATAGGGTCATGTTGAGGCCGAGGGCCGTTCTGATGCTGAGGTCGAGGGCCATTGTTGATGTTGAGGCCGAGGGCCGTCTGATGTTGAGGCCGAGGGCCGTTGGTGATGTTGAGGCCGAGGGCCGTCCTTATGTTGGGGCCGAGGGCCGTTGTTGATTTTGAGACCGAGGGCTGTTCTGATGTTGAGGCCGAGGGCCGTTGGTGATGTGAGATCACGTTAAGGCCAAAACTGTTATGACACAGAGTCATGTTGAGGCTGAGGGCCGTCTGATGTTGAGGCCGAGGGCCGTTGGTGATGTCCTCACGCTGAGGCCGAGGGCCGTTGTTGATGTTAAGGCCGAGGGCCGTTGTTGATTTTGAGACCGAGGGCCGTTCTGATGTTGAGGCCGAGGGCCGTTGTGATGTGGAATCACGCTGAAGCCGAGGGTCGTTGGTGATGTGAGATCACGCTAAGGCCAAAACCGTTATGACATAGTGTCATGTTTAGGCCGAGGGCCGTCTGATGTTGAGGCCGAGGGCCATTGTGATGTCCTCACGTTGAGGCCGAGGGCCGTTGTTGATGTTAAGGCCGAGGGCCGTTATTGATTTTGAGACCGAGGGCCGTTCTGATGTTGAGGCCGAGGGCCGTTGTGATGTGGAATCACGCTGAAGCCGAGGGCCGTTGGTGATGTGAGATCACGCTAAGGCCAAAACCGTTATGACATAGTGTCATGTTTAGGCCGAGGGCCGTCTGATGTTGAGGCCGAGGCCCATTGTGATGTCCTCACGCTGAGGCCGAGGGCCGTTGTTGATGTTAAGGTCGAGGGCCGTTGTTGATTTCGAGACCGAGGGCCGCTCTGATGTTGAGGCCGAGGGCCGTTGTGATGTGGAATCACGCTGAAGCCGAGGGCCGTTGGTGATGTGAGATCACGCTAAGGCCAAAACCGTTATGACATAGTGTCATGTTTAGACCGAGGCCCGTCTGATGTTGAGGCCGAGGGCCATTGTTGATTTTGAGACCGAGGGCTGTTCTGACGTTGAATCATGCCAAGGCCGAGGGCCATTGGTGATGTAGAATCGAATTGAGGCCGAGGGCCTTTCCTTGATAGTTCCGGGAGTCTTTCGGGTGTATGTTCCTTCTTTCCGGCATCGACCGAGGGGGTTGATTCCCCGCCTCGGCCGAAAGGGGGTCCAAGTGATTCGTCCGGGGGTTCGTCTGTTAGTCCCCCGGCGCTGGGCCGTCCCTTGATTGTTCCTGGAGGTCGTATGTTAGTCCTCCTGATGTTTGTTCCTTCTTTCAGGCTTCGGCCGAGGGGGTTGCTTCCCCGCCTCGGCCAGAAGGGGGTCCAAGTGATCCGTCCGGGGGTTCGTCTGTTAGTCCCCCGACGCTGAACCGTCCCTTGACCTTGGGGGTTCCCGTCGTCTATTTACGGCGCGAGCTAGGCTTGGTCGGTTTCCGACGACTGCCGTTTCACCCCCAAGTTTGAGGATTTCGTCACTTCAGCCATTCTTTCAGGCCTGTCGCCGTGCGTTGCGCGTCGGCGACGCGGCGAGCGTCCCGCTCCAAAAACGCGGGCCTTTTACAGGCCCCTCGTCTTTAGACACCATCGGCCATACCTGGGCATTTGGCCTCGAAGGAGCCGATAAGATGTCTGGATTGTGTTGTAGTTTACTTAAATTTATAGAAATAAGCGTAATACAAGGGGTGCGTTGTTTGACAACGGCTTTGTTAAGATTCACCGCTCAAGGCCGAGGGCTCTAGACCGAGGGGATGATAATGTGCCTCGAGGTCGAGGGACCATGGCTGAGACTAACGTCGAAGGCGAGGAACATGATTAGCGGAGGTGGCGCTTCTTCGGCTGGGGCTCCTCGAACTCCTCGTCGTCGCTGAGCCTCCCGATTTCATGTTTCTTCATTGCGATGTCCCCTTCTTCTTTATCGGTGTTCTCCCCGGTGTTTTTCCTTGGGGCATTTTTTATGAATTGGTGGAGCTCACCCCGTTGAATTAAGAGTTCAATAGCCTTCTTTAACGAGACACAATCATCTGTATTGTGGGAGGTGCTTTTGTGGTAACGGCAATAAGTGCCGCCTTGGTGGATTGCGTAGATCTCCCTCGCCGACCGAGGGTCCTTGGGGAAAAGGTCCTGCTCTTCCGCATAGTTGAGGATAGTGCTCACCGGGTGCGTGAGGGGAGTCCTCGGCATGTCCAACCGAGGGCGCCACTGGCGTTCGTTACGGCCCTGGTGGGTGTGGCTTCCATGGTCTCGGCCTCCGGCCGAGGGCGCATTTGGGGCCGGCGTGTTGTTTGTCTTCCTCGAGGGCTGGCCCTCGTTCTTCTTGAAGGAGCGGAGGTCGTCGGCGTATAGGCTCCCCCGCTGGAGTGCTTTGAGGTATGATCTTGGGGGGTCTGTGATGAGGCTCCGTGCGTAGGGGTTGCTGCGGAGAACCCCCTGGAAGAGGACGAGGAGGGTACGCTCGTCGGTGCCCTCGACCTCGTCTGTCTCCTTCATCCACCGGTCAATGAAGGACCGAAGTGTTTCGTCAGGTTGTTGCTTGACGTAGAGGAGGTGGGAGAAGTGCTTTCTCGCACGCTTCCTTCCGGCAAAATGGGTGAGGAAGCGTTGAGCAAGATCTTGCCAAGAGTCAATGCTGCCCTCGGGCAATCGATTGAACCATTCGTATGATGGTCCCTCCAAGGTGGAAAGGAACCAACGACATAAGTATTCATCTGATGCCCCCATCATCATCATGCTGTTTTGATACCTGTTGTAGTGCTCCTGGGGGTCAGTTTTTCCTTCATAGGGCTTGATGAGTTGCCCTCGGTACTTTTCCGGGATTTGGGCCGCCAATACCCTTGGGGTAAATGGCGTCCTAGTTCGGAATTGGATGACGGGTTCCCCGGAGCCTTCGGCAAATTTCCTTTGCATCTCCTCCATTTTGGCCAGCATGGCCTCATATTTAGAATCTGCATGGGGGGCAGAAGTGGTGGTGTGTGCTTTGGTGGCCTCCATCTCGTCAAGCCGGTGCTGGAGGGCCGCAATGATTTCGTCCTGGGGGTCCTTCGGGAAGGCCTCCGCCCCCTGCGAACGGACACGGGCCGAGTGGGCCTGGTTGATTTGGTGACGGGCGTCATCGGCATGGAGAGGTGTCTTGCCTTTGTCCTGAAGGGGACGTCTTTCATTAGCCCTGGAGACGGATCTGCCACTTTCCTGAGGCCTCTGGAGCACCTTCCCCCCGAGGCGGTCTTGGACCCTTCGGCGGTCTTGCGCCCCTCCGAGTCTCTCGAGGGCGGAGGTCCGGGGCGGTTCCTTGTTCATGTTGTGGCGGTCCCGGGGTTGGACTTCCTGGGAGGCCGTATCTTGGGCCACGACCCCCTCGACGTTCCCCATCCGGAGGACAGGGTTCCCGAGGGGGTGTGGATGAGGGGGAGGCATGATATTCTCCCCGACCAGAGGTTGGAGGGGAACCAAAGTGCCGAAGGCACCCGGATTCTGGGTGAGCGTCTGGATGAAGGCGGAAAACGCCGAGTGTACGTCGATAGTGATGACCGGAGGGCTAACTTGGTTCTCGCTCCGGTCCTTCTTTTTGGCCTCAATGCTGAGGCGGGCATTGGGGCATTCTGTTGAATCCGATGGCGTAGGTCGACAGCCATCTGGTCCAACCCGGCGATGACGCCGCCCTCGGGAGCCATGTTAGAGGCTTCGAGGGCATCGACGTCGCCGAGGGCCAGGTTCCTGTCCTCATGAGTCTTGGATTGGGCACATGTGTTTCTTCCCATTCTGATAGGTGTTTTTAGCTGAAGGGGAGGGTTTCTTACTTGATTGTTCGAACTCTCAACGAGAGCACCAAATGATAGATAGTGTACCCGGGGGGTAGCTTATCCGAGGGGTTATTGCGGAGAATAACTAGAGAGGAGTCAGAGCAAATAAGTAAGAGAGAGAGTGTATATTCGATATGTATTAAGCGTGGTTTACAATGGGGGAAAGGGGTGCTATTTATAGTAGTAATAAATGCCAGATAAGGACACGTGTCAATTTTCTGGTGGTCGAGGGGTCACCTCAACCGGGGTGGCAATTGCATTCGCATGTGGCCGCATTAAATGCGGTGGTTGGATGTGACGTTTGTACTTGGTACGGTGATCCAGACGCATGTGAAGAGGATATTCTGTCGAGGTGGATGCCTTCGGTTGGAGGGTGCTGGGCCGAAAGCTCTTCTAATCGAGGGCTCCTACCTGCTGAGGGCTGTAGGTGCCGAAGGCTTAGTTTTCAAGCCTTGTTCTTCTGTGATGCCTCTTCTAACCGAGGGCTCCTACCTGCCGAGGGCTGCAGGTGCCGAAGGCTTGTTTTTCAAGCCTTGATCTCCTGTGATGCCTCTTCTAACCGAGGGCTCTTACCTGCCGAGGGCTGCAGTTGCCGAAGGCTTGGTTTTCAAGCCTTGATCTCCTGTGATGTTTCTGAGCTCGATTCCGTCACCGGTAGCCTTCGGCCATGGGGCCGAAGGCACCCCTTTGCGTATTGTGGGCTGCTTACAGCTCCATTTCTCTGGGCTTGGCCCGTTTGGGCCTGTTGGGCCTGATTGTAGTAGAGGAAGTATGTGGGCCGGGGGTCCCTGGACCATATACTCCATCAAATGGTATTTACTATTTAATGGTAATTATGATGACAAAATTATACATAAATTTTATGTACAATTAATTCATCTCTAAAATCTAAATAGGGGGTATGGAATACTCAGCATATGTCTTCCCTCTTTTAATAGCATAACATTTGTATATTTTATTTTTAAATAGTAATATTTCATTTAAAAAATTGAAGTGATTATGAAAACTTTTCATTTTTTTACCATCTTTTGGATAGTCAATACACTTATATTTTAATAAATTACCAAGTAACTATTTATAAATAATAAATATTGTCTTAAATGAGAATTCATTGCATACAATAATTTATTGATATGCTAAATCAGAGGCTAGAGTTCAATCTGAAATATCCATTTTTTATGAAGTATGAATATAAAAATAGAAACTGCTCTAAATAGGAACAAAAACGTTTTAAAATTCTAAAATAGGAGTATCATGTTTTTTATTCCCTGAATAGAAGTAATTTGCTAAGTTTGTAAAAAAATGTCATGTTTAAAGTCTAGTAATGTCAAACTTGAAAGAAATTTACTCCTATTCAAAGAATAAAAAAACTTATTTTGAAATTTCAAAACTTTTTTACTACTATTTAAGGAATTCTCTCAAATAAAAACGAATCGAAATTGAAGAGTTAAATTGAAACAAGCATCGTAGTCTTTATTTGAAAATACACAAGTCGTCGTCATAATGGAGGTTTATTTACAATTACTTTTTCAAGAGTTAGTCAGTTACCGTATCAAAATTTTTCAAAGTTACATACATTATTGTAGATTTCCATGAATACATTTTATTAATTATTCTCTTTCCAAATTAAAATTTCAAATTTATACATTTTCATTTCTGCTACATACAAGTACATGACAATTACACATAATATATATACATCTAGTAATAATTATTGTTACTAATTCAAAAAAAGACAAGGTGGAACGGTGCTCACCGTACAATCGAGTATTTTATGTTAAAAGAAACGAGTACAATGTTTAAAAGAAATGAGATTTGATATTGAATTAAAAAATTAACACAATAAATATTTTGATGATAATACAATGATGATATAGTTAAATGAATAATTTTTTTTTGTAGCATATATATTACGTGTACATCATGATATTTAATTTAATTGCATGTTTCTAATACTCAAATGTGTTAAAAGTTGTACTCATTTCTTTTAACATAAAATGATTAATACTCATTTCTTTTAACCAATACAATGATTGAATATTAATACTCATTTCTTTTAACATAAAATACCCGGTTCTATGGTGAGCATCGTACAACCGATGGTATGATGTAGATTGTAGACTCTCGGAGACCCGGCCACATCTTATGTGCAGTTTTATGCAAAAACAGACCAATCATGGACCGGAACTGTGTCACCGTTTGGAAAGCCATTTTTGGCTACTAAAGGTCCAAACAGGCTCTTGATCCGATCAAAACGATGCTGAAATATTCATAGCTGGGCTTCTTATGCTACGGCATATTACAAACTTCGACCAGTTGTTTGCCGGCCATTATTGCAACATTGCCTGAAAAAGAAAAGACAAAACTGAGCATCCCAAAAGCTTTCTTTCCCACAATCACTGGGCTACTGAGTTTTTTTTGTCTTTTATATCTGATTGCCAATAGTGCCAGTCACTGCTAGTTAGGAAGAAAGTAGTAAAATAGAAGGGTAAACAAATATGGAACAACATCATTGTATTTTTTGCTGATTTAATAGACTGATTCAGAAATCGATCTTTGCAATAAAGCAAAGAAACCACTCGCTCACCAAGAAGTTCTAATGGTCTGTTTGGATGTACAGTTTTAGAGAGGAAAGTTTTTAAGAACACAGTCCACATCATTATACATATTTTTGATTATACAACTGGAAAGATCAATGTAACATGCAAAAAATATCATACAATATTTCAATCACATTACATACATTTTAATATACATACTATGAGCAATTTGATAGTTTAGTCCAATAACCAATCACAGATGTTTGTGTCCTTGCTTGTTTGTATGTTTGACAAAATTAAAGTTTTTTTCGTCATAATGCCAATAAATAGCCCACCAGAAAAGCTGCTGACTGCAAGAAAATATTCTTAAAGTTAGTAAATACGGAGTATATTGCTAACAAAGACATGATCTGCAAGTGAGTAGAATCACAAAACTAATAATGGCAACGTGTATAAGTTTAGTAGACTAAATTAGCAATATCATTATACAATGAGTAAGCCCTAAGAACCTTACCACAAAACCCTCCATCCACAGACCCTAAGGGAGGCACACAGGGCACCTAACCAATCCATTTTCATTACAATTTTGGCACCTCCTCAACCTGCTTTCTTCATTCTTGAACACTTTCCGACTCCCATTGCAACTCGGGCATGGCACAAATCTTGCATCCCCACAACTCCCACAAAACAAAGTCCCCTCTTGCTTCAAAGGCAACCCCTTCAGAAGCTCACCTAACTCCCCAGCCTCATTTAGTTGCTTAATCTCATTAGCACCACCAATGTGTCTTCCCCTAATAAATACATGCGGCAAGCTTAAATCTTTTCCTCCCCCACCCAGCATGCCCTGCAACTCTTTCCGGTATGATGCATCCATAGATACATCTTTCTCATCCACAGACACCCGAAATCCCCTAAAGATCATCCGAACATCACAGCAATCTTCAAAAGTCTTCCTAATCCCTCGTAGGCTAGTATAATACACAACAATCCTGTCATCGGGCAGCAATGAATCGATGTGCTCCACGAACTCATACGATTTCACCATCTCATTCAACTCAGCAACGACTTTCACACTCTCAGGACTGGGAACTTTTGGGGCTTCGACTACATGGAAATCAAATTCGTCTTCATCCAGGCCTTCCATGAGCTCCCACGTGTTGACGACTGAGTCAGGAGAAACCGGGTCGGGTTCTATCTGGGTACTACTGAGATTAGGGTTAGGGTTTGGGATTTCCGGGCGGTCAATCAAAAGAAGCGATCCATAAGTAGAAGAGGTGAGTATCACCAAATGGTTGCTATCCCCTTTTCTGACGGCCGGGTGGTGAACCAGGCGGGTGGGGAGAGAGAGCGATCGCGAGACCGAAGCAGAAAGGGGGTCAGAATGGGAACCCGAAATTGGTGGCTTCTGCGGCTGGATAAAGTCATGCTCTCCGGAGCGAGAAGCTGAGCAACCCATCTAAGGAAACACACAACTGCTTCCAAATTGTGACAAAGAGGGCTGCGAAATGCTTCTTCTTCTACTAGCTGCCTCTTTCCGGGAGAAGAGTATGTTGTTAGTTAGAGAGTGAATGGTGAGAATTTGAGGGGATGTGGGAGTTGGTGGGTGAAGGTTTTCGAGATCAGGTGGAGGAAGATGAAGATGGATTGATGGATGATTGAAGAACAGAGAGGAAGAAGAGAGTCGAACAACCGCAGCTTTCTGGGGGACGGGTGGATCCAGCAAACTATAAATGTGGAGATTGGTAGTTGATGTCTATGGACCAGCCGTGGGGATTGAGCGCCGATGTTTCTAGGCTGGAATGGAATCATTAACCTCGAAACACCACTTCATTTGTAAACAAGACTGGCTTTGAACTTGTAGGAGCTGAGTTTTTTTCCATACGATTTTGACTCAAAATTAAATACAGTGTAATTAAACTAAAAAATATGTTAAAAGAATGACGCAATTATTACTTCGTAGCTTTCTTTAGACAAAAATATGAAAAATTTTAAATATAGACAAAAGTGACAACACTTGATAATAAAATAGCTAAATACCGTTTTATAAAACTCTATAACCCTGCTTTAAAAAAAAGGAAAAATGGGTAAGGTTGTTTTTACTTGAATCGTAATTCGTCCCAGACTAGATCAAACCAGAACAGACTAGACCAGACCAGACTGCACTAAAACAGTCCAGACCAGACCAGATCATATTTTTTTATTATTATTATTATTATTATTATTATTATTATTATTATTATTATTATTATTATTATTATTATACACAACAATCTTCAAAAGTCTTCCTAATCCCTCGTAAGCTAGTACTCCTTCCGTCCCGATCATTTCTTTCAATTTTCCTTTTTGGACCGTCCCAATTAATTCTTCCAACTTTCACTTTTGGAAAAAATATATGGTTCACATTCATTCACTTTTTTCTTACACAACTACAACCATACATTTCCGCTTTATTCCCACTATCTAAATTTGCGAGCCAAGTCAAAACCGGAAGAAATGACCGGGACGGAGGGAGTATAATACACACCAATCCTGTCATCGGCTCCCACGTGTTGATGACCGAAATGGATTTTATTATTAGGTGACAACTCCTGTACCCATTTAAAAAATGGAGTATCGTACCTACCACTCACTTGATTGGTTCAAATCATTACATCATTTTTAATTAAGATTTAAATAATTCAAATACATCATTCTGATTGGTCCATATGGACAAAGATATGGTACCTTAAAGGGACCATAGAATCTACCTTATTATTATTATTATTATTATTATTATTGTTGTTGTTGTTGTTATTGTTGTTGTTGTTGTTATTATTATTATTGTTATTGTTATTATTGTTAGAACTATTATTACTATTACTACTATTACTATTATTACTATTATTATTACTATTATTATTATTATTAGTAGTAGTATTGTTATTGTTGTTATTATTAATACTTGTACTATTTTATTATTGTTCTGTATTTGTATGATCTGCTTCGGTCTGGGATTGAAATCAATCCAATTAAAATGATAACAATTTTCGATAATTTGGAAGGAATATTATTATTTTTAATTATAAATGAATAAAATATAATTATTTATGGATTATAATATATATAAAAATTAAAATCTTTATGCAAAAAATATAAAAAACAAAATTTCAGACCAGACCAGACCATACTAGACCAAAACAGACCAGACTAAAACAGACCAGACCAGACCAATAAATTACAGTCCAAGTAAAAACATCCTAAATAAGCACTCGAAATAACAAAAAAGTGCAAATCACTCCTTATATAGGAGGTTCTGTCCGGCCGTCGCCATTTGGGGCGATTCCTGATGGAATTTTTTGATTAATGTTTGTGAGCATCTTATTCATTAAGTCTAGTTTATCCATACCAAATTTCAGCTAAAAATATAATCGGAAAGACAGTCAAATAAATGTTTGAAGATAACTGCGCAGTTAAACAGCGCAATATATTGCATACAATCATTTGACTGCCTTCTCGGTTGAATTTTTAGTTGAAATTTGGTACGGGTAAACTAGACTTAATGAAAAAGATGCTAAAAAAACATCAAAAAATTCCCCTAGGAACCGCCCCAAATGGCGATGGCCGGGCATAGCCTCCTATAAAAAGGGTGATTTGCACTTTTTCTGTTAGTTCGAGAGCTTATTTGCACCTTTTCCCACTAAAAAATATGTTAAAAGAATGACACAATTATTAATTTGTAGCTTTCTTTAGACAAAATATGATTTTTCTTTAAATATAGAAAAAAGTGACAACACTTGATAATAAAATAGCTAAATACCATTTTATAAAACTCTATAACCCTGCTTTAATTATTCGATCGTATCTTTCTCACTAGTCGAGTACTTCTCTCTTCCGCTCTCATCGATCAACCTCCATCGTCCAAGCTATGCTGTCAGTGGCGGACCCAGAAAGTCGGAGCCACATGGTCTATACCATTTTATATCTTGTTGGGATATTGGATCGAAGGCCCAATATCGAGATCAAAGACCCAAAACATCCAGCACAAAATAAATAGTCCGGAATCCAGAAGAACATGCCCAGTGAGATATATGCCCCGAACGAGGATCGGGTCAACCAGTATACTTGGGTCAGAACCATGATGACTCCAGCATGGTCCATTCACCTCGAACGGGCAACAGATAGCTAGCAAGTGGCAGGGAGCATTTATTGCTACGAAGTGACCTCAACAAGTGGGAGTATGGGCATTCAAGTGGCTAGATTAGCAACCAATCAGCATGAAGCTCTCCATACCCCCCATTAGTATAAATAGAGGGATTGATCTCATTTTAAAGGGTTACCATTTTGATACTCAAAGCCTAGAATAGCTTTATTACTCTTGTTCTTGTATTAATCATTGTTCCGACGTACTGTTCGGGAAGTTTCCTGTGTAATCTGCGAATTGCATAATACAAGTGGGCTCTTGAGATTATTATTATTCAGCTTTTATATTTTGTTATACCCTCGATTTATTATCCACATCCTGAAATATCCAAAGCGTGTGTTGGGCTTTCAGATCTACGAGATTAAACCTCAACATTGGCGCCGTCTGTGGGAAACTTGAACAAAAAGTTTCAAAAACCAACCAACTATCCAAACATCAACCTATTATCAAAATGGTCATTATCACCTCTCATCATACTGGTGGAAGTTCTGGAAGACGTGGGGAGAGCAGGACCCCCCAAGGGCAATCTAGTCGGGGGTCGTACCAACATTTTGATAGGGATTTCTTCATCCTCAAAGCACTGAGGAGGAACCCCCACGCCATGCGGGATTTAGCTCAGGTCATGTAGCACCTGGGAGATGAGGAAGATGGGGGCGATCCAGCTATACGGGGGAAACCAGGTACACGACCCCGTCTACGATGCAATCATTCGATGAGGAGACCACCGATACAGAAACCACCACGACTTCGAACCATTCACGAGCCCATCTGGGAGAGCGCAGAAGGACTCATGCATCTGAGGGTAGGCATCACACTCCCAGTGACAACACCCGGACCGGGTCCCGAGCCAGAGGAGATACGCCGGTTGGGCGCCATTTCCATTATGGAGAACATGATAACACCCGATTCAGATAGGGACGTCAGAATTAGAGAACAACCCCACCGGAAGGAACTCGAGAGTTTGTTGATCTGGGAACTCCACCACCACCTCCCCTAATGGCCCATGAGGAAGAGATGGCCTAAATGAGGAGGCCGATGAAGGAAATGATGGACCAAATGAACATGGCACCTCTACAACCTACCCCGGTGCGAGTCGGGATCACTTCCCCCTTTACCCGAGAAATAATGGATGCCGAAATCCACAGGGATGCCAAACCGCCGACCGGTCAGATATATGATGGGGCGGGAGATCCCCATGTGCATTTGAGGAGTTACCGAGGGGGGCTCATGCTGTTGGGAGAAACATAGGTGGTCATTTGTCGGCTTTTTTTCAGCACGCTCAGGGGACCTGCCCAGGAATGGTTCGAGACCCTGCAGCCCGGATCGACCGGCAGCTTTGCCGAATTATCATCTTTATTTCTGGCCAATTTTGCCTCCAATGCCACTCCAAAATGGCATTTCAGTTACCTGACCAGTGTCAAGCAGGGACCAAGAGAGTCCCTTAATCAGTTCCTGAAAAGATGAAGGGATGAAACCCTGAAGGTTGGTGGTATGACGGAGGATACGACGATCACATTGTTTACTGATGCCCTCCGAAACGGAGAATTATACAAGGATTTGAAAAAGAATCCGGGTACAACATATGTCGAAGTACTAGATAGAGCCCGGAAAAATGATGCCTTGAAGGAAGAAATCACGATCAGGGATAAGGTGGCTACACCTTCTGCCCCAACAAGGCTGGCCGATCGGCTAGGTCCTATCCCAGTGGCCGCTCCTCCTCCGAAGCCAGGACGTTTCACCCCTCTGGTCCTGCCTGTTGCGACCATTTACCAGAACGAGAAGGACAATATTCCCCTTCCGACGGATACCAAAACTTACATGGGGGAAGATGAGAATGCCTTTCGTAAATACCACAAGAGGAAGGGTCACCCTACCCATTTCTGTCGGGCATTACAGATTGTAATTGAAGAATTGATCCAGCGGGGTCATCTGGACAAATATGTTAACAAAGACCCGAACGTTGTAGGCATCCTGAAGCCGATCAAGAATCCCAACAGCTGGAGACAAGATGATCAACGTGATGCTCAGCCCAGGAACGATGTTTATAATCCCCCAGAGACAAAGTAAAGGGTTCGGGGAACTCGGGAAAAAATCCAAGAATGGAAGTAAAGGTCATATTCGGGGGCGGGGAAATAGGGGACTCGACTGCGGAACGGAAAAGATTTGAACAGAGCCTCTATGTGGGATCAGTCTCCACTCCGCCCAGAAGAAATGAATAATGGAGCTGATAACATTCGGCCTTGTAGATTGGCCCTGTAACACCGTCCCCAATTATATTTACTTTTAAACAAATAATGTAATGAACCTTGTTAAATGGGTAATGAATTTATGAAGTTGTAAATTTCCATTATTTCTTTCGTGCGAATACTATATTGCCCGTGGGGCCCACACCGGGAGCGGGGGGGCCGCCCGACATTCCTGAGACCACATATTTTATTCATCTTGGTAAAGATAATATTCATATGGTGGTGGATATTTTATTTGGGTCGTGGAAAGGCCCGGAGTTGACCGATTGGTCAAAAGAGGCCCAAGGTACCAGTACTGGTAATTTAACAGATACCAGCCCGAACTGAATTTCGGAAGCTTATAAATAAAGATGAGGAATGTATATTCATTCTAAGAGTACATAATGATGGGGAACACATAAGATATTTTATTTTACCCGATAAAATAAAATATAATTAAAACAATCCGAAAAA